TACTCTCTCTCTCTCTCTCTCTCTCTCTCTCTCTCTCGTATTATCCATTTCTCTTCCCCTCTGTCCTATTGCCGTCATTTTAGTCCCACATCAGACCTTTTACAAAGGCTCAAGTGAGTAAGGACTATAAAAAAGCACGCAAAGAGTGAGAGGTTGGTTCTCAGGACACGTCGACCAGCGCTTCCTCTATAAGAGAGGTGTGGGCCTTCCCAAAAGGCTGCCTTTACATCCACAAAAATTAAATGAAGAGTCAAAAATTAATGCCGGGTGATGGTCCACCACTTCTCATTAACAAAATGCAAAATTAATTAATTAAATTAAATTTTATTCTGAAAAATGGCCAATTGTAGTAACATCCACTTTCCTAACCATTAGCTAAATGAGTGCAATATCGTGAAACACACCTGCAACTTGTTTGATATCATCTGCATACTGAATAATTGCACGTTACCAAGCATCCAGTTATTTTCAGTAGATCTCTCACTTCCGACAACTCCTTCAAAAGTTTTAATTTCAGATATGTGGGCTCCAAGCTACACTTCACACGTAATGGATGGGTGAGCTTTTGGGCGCTAGGTCTGGTCTATTGAGCTTTAGAAGATGAGGCCATGAGCCCACTTGGCTTGGAGAAGGTGAAGTCGATTAGCCATCTTTCCTTGCTGTACTGTGGCCTTTTGTGCCCAACCTTTCCAATTTTGGTGGACATGGCCGGAATCTGTCCAAGTGCTGGTGATTCAAATCTTGCCTCACTCCCCCTACCTGGCCCATCTTATGCAAGACTTCAGTACTGTCAACCTGTCGCTCATCTGAATCAAGATGACCGATTGCACCTTCTACAAGAGCAAATCAGACTTGACCCTGATCTTAGGTATTGAGAGTACTGATCACACCTTCCATAAGAGCAATTCAGACTTAAATGTGATCTTAGGTAAATTGAAAACCACGATCATTTCAGGGGTGAAATACAGAAAAGAATTATATGTATTTTGAGTAGCAGATCTTGAATCCAAAGTCATGGAGATGGCCCTCTCTCAATCCCCACATTCGGCTCTGTAAGTTCTACTTTAATTGTAGATCTTGAATTAACCCAGGTAAGGCTGGTATGGGGGTCTCCTTAAGAATGCCCACAGAGGACAGATATCTTGCTCCGACCCTATTGGAATCTAAATAGACATGGAGGCCAAGGCTAGGGTGCCCCTCAAAGAAGCACATATAATCCTAAGAAGAACTAGTGGATTCCACATCAAAGACATGAATCCAAGAATCATAATAGAGAGATCCCCAGAAATTCCTTGGCTGGTGCTCCTAATGACGAGCTTTAGTGCTCTAAGTGACAAGCTTGCCATTAGAAGCTATGCTGCACTATTGAGAAATTGGGGATTTCCTGAACTTGGCTGAACACTCTCGAAGTTGTAGCGAGACACCCTGGGAGGGAGAAGAACTATCGGCACTGACAATCATGATGGACAAGAAACATAGAGATTAGAGGATGTCTTCCCCTAATTCTCAGTCTTGCACAGGAAAGCACAGTTGCAGAATGTACAGAATGTACATAAACATTGCAATAGAAATGGGTAGATCAGTTCTAACCACAAAAAATAATACAAAGCTAACCATAGTGCAAAAGATAAAAAAATGCCAGCCACTTTTCACACTCTATCTAGTAGGATTACCCCACACCATGGAAACTTGGTTTATACTTTCAAAGATGCCGTTTTAATCAGTATTTGAAAATTGCAATATCACATGAGTCAGCCAGAGACATAGGGTCCCCATGAGGTCTCCAAACCAGGTAACCAACCTGAGTTAAAATGAACAGGAGGGCCCACTAGAGTGAACCTGAGTCACCAGGGAATCAGGGATCAAGGAACCCCAGGTGCGGAGGGCTCCGAACGGTGGAATCACCCCAAGTTAAAGTGAACTGGCTGGTGCTTGCACTGGACTAAAGGCGATTCCCAAGTCCCGTGGAATTGCCAAGTTGATTTTCCCCCTCCTAGAAACTTCTTCAACTTGAGCCTCATTTCATCAAATTGGGCTCATTTGGGGGCTATTTCAGTCCCAAATTTGAGCCAATAGAAGATCTTCCAAAATTTCGCATCTCTCTAATTTGTTCATTTAGGAGGGACTCGCAGACAGACTCATGAGGGCGATTCACCCCAAGCCAAAACCAGGTCGGTGCCCAGATTCTGGGTTTTCAAACACTGGTTCTAGTTCACAACAGAGACCAAACTGCATTTATCTGCATTGGTGTATAAAAAACCTGGCCACCCACCAAGTCCCAGTGAAACTGGTGAACTACAGATCGGTTTGACCAGTTGGGCCATGCTGAGCTCGCAAAAAAGATTGAAAAAATATTCAGAAAATTTTGGAACAAAAAAATATGAGTTGATTTGTGAAAAAAAGGAAGAAAAACTAATTAATTTGTTACATATTTTGACTAAATTGTCCATAGAGGTGAGAATACTGAGAATCACATTCATGTCTGAGTACACCATCCAGTCATTTCACATTCTAAAATGCAATCTGAAAAAAAAGGAAGGCAAAAACACCAAAACCTACACTCTACTTAAAAAATATACAATAACAATAGAATCTTAACCCTAGTCAAAAAAGAAATTAACATAATATTTTAAAATTTTTTGGATTTTCTCATAATTATTCAGGAAAACCTTAAACGGAGACCAAAAAACTAAAACAAATACCAATATTATCAAAAGAACAACTAAACCCTACCTAAGAGAGGCTAGGGAAAAAAATGTATCATAATATTCATATAAATTCAGATTTTCTCAAACATTTTCAAGGAAGCCATAAGCTGACACAAAAATTTAAATAAATACAAAAATTATTTAAACACTATCTAAAACCCCATCCAATAAAACCTAGAACATTAATAATAATAATAATAATAATCTAAATTTGTAGTTTACAAAAAGTTCTAATTTTCTGATTTTTAGGGAATAAAATGAATGCAAATATTATTAAAGATTATCCGAAGCCTACTTAAGATAACCTATAACCGAAAACCAAAAAAACATGTTTCTGAAAATTTTTGATTTCCTTAAAATTTTTGAGGCCCTATATTGAAGCATAAATTAAATTATTAAAATTTATCTAAATACTAGCTAAGACAACCAAAAAAAAATTCTTCAAAAAAAATAATTTTTGAGAAACAAAAAAGTAAAAAATAGAAAATACATAAGAACAAGTATTCAGATAAGAAAAATAATTTCCAATTCTATGATGTATGAGTCAAAATTAAAATCAAAATAACCATTGCAAAGATAAATGACGGAAAAAAAAGGCAAAAAGATACCAACAATTGATTTCGATATTTTTGGTATTTTATAAATTGATATGAAAAATCTGTTAGGAATTGTCTATATCGATATGGTGGAAAATATTGGGATTAATTTTGAATGAGTTTGATGAAAAAGAGAGAGAGATATCAAAGATTATCTATTTCAGATTAAAAAAATGACGAAATTTGGGACCTTAATTTCTTTAATTTTGCATTTGAATGAAACAAATTGGGGATCGATAGAGTGCTCAAAGACGAACAAAGTCATATATGTTTCAACAAAATTAGTTAATAATTTGTGAAGGACTTTGTAGATTGGCCGATTAGGGTTTTTGGGTAAAAAAATGATGATCATCAAATAAATCTCTCTCAAAGCAAAAATCAAACAAATATTATTTTCATATATGCACAAAGCAATTGATTGATGCTAAAATTAATCGAAAAAGGGCTTAGATGCATAATCAAGAAAAAAATTTCTAAAATGGGGCCAAAAAAAAAAAGAATTTTTCAAAATTATGTTCCTTGAATGAGGGGTACAGTGGAACTCACCCGACTCCGGGTCTCGGACTCGTATCCCTCAGGTTACAGTTACAGATCTTAATCAAACCGGTAATTTCCTAAACACTGATTTGCATAAACTCCAACACGCATGCTAACAAAGCACAACAAAGAGATCCAATCCCACAAAACCGAGTTTCAAATATGCGATTCTAATCCATATCCCAGAAGGTGTTAATCAAAGGTATAAACTCAAATGCACATGGTAAAATAAACTAAAAAATTCACAAGGATTTGATAGGAGATTCAGGCTTCATAAAAAAGAGAGTCAATTGAATTTCAGAATAAAAAATATAATCCTCTTACAAACCCCACGAGCATTTTCTTCTCCCTCACAGCCACAGAAGAAACAGAGTATATTTCAGAGAGAGAAAAACAAAAAACACAAGCTCAAATCCATGTACACGACTGATAGAAACAGAGTATAACTCAGAGAGAGAAAAACAAGAACACAAACTCAAATACAGCTACACGACTGAGAAGCAACGAAGTTTAGTTAATTCTATTGAGAAGGAACCAATGTTCTCCAAATAATACACATTCTCTGTTTCTCTCTCCACCCTGGTGATCAAAATCTCGGGCTTCAAAAGCCAGAATTCAGCAAAAAACAAAACCACATTGCCATTACAAAAAAAGAAGAGGAAGAAACCATGAAGAGATACTGCTAAACCATATCCATGGATAATCAGTACTATTGATAAAAAAATATAAAGCTCAGTAGCTACTCAAGGAAACCAGTTCGAGTGAGAACCGCATTCCTAACCTTGCTGAGATCCCTACCTTTTAGCGTTCTTCCAAACCCTTCACAAACAGAGAAAGAAGAGATCTGGTTTCTTGCCAGCTTCTTGGCTATGATCTCATGAGGGGGTATCCTGTCATCATCGTCATCATCTTCGTCTTCGTGGCCATGGCCATCTTGGGCTCGCTCATCGTCGTCATCCTCCCCATCATCGCCATTATTGTCATCCATGCGATTGCACTTGAATCCCCTGTTCCTGTAAATCTTCGACCAGTCAGGTATGTTTACAGGCGCCGATTGTTGTTGCACCACGATTCTTTGTTCTAAGGCAACGCCACTGCTGCTTCTCGGTATCATTCTAAAAGCAGAGGAAATGCGCCTTGAAGGAGGAACAGGTGACTTTTTCTGTGTAAATTGGGGACTGCCATTACTATTCTCCTTGAAAACAGCCCACATATCCTCTTCCTCAAAATCCTCACCTGTAATTGATTTCATACCTCTTGTATCGGCAACATACATGTACCCATTCGCCATGATCATCGACCAGAAAACCCTAATTCACTCGCTAAGGAACACCCTGAAACTAATACCCCTGATATAGATATATATATATATGCAGAGAGCACCTGCAAACAAGGAAAGAACGAAACGCTATATGTTAACCCTAGATGAAACTTATCCAGAGAGACAGAGAGAGGGGGTTTGCCCTGGTTTGGTGCTTAAATTCGAGGGTTTGATGGAGTTAATGAGTGCCTCAGTGACCGGTGATTGGATGGGGCCGGAGCATGAGAGAAATGAAAGACTGCTCTGACCTCTGTGGTTTAGGAAGAGAGAGATTGTGTTGAAAAGACCTGGACTCGTCCGTACTTTCCTGTGCGATTGTGTGTCCTTTACATGGGTGGGTTTTCTATGAGTCGGCCGACCCATATGTGCACTTGCGGCTTCCCTCTAAAGTTTGTTTATCGGTCGGGGTTATGGTGAGTGAGCCGACTTATCTATTAACAAGCGAGCCCTCTTTTATCGAACGTTCTTCTCTAAGATAGATGTCAAAAAAAACGTATATTCATAGGACGCGGTTATGGTGAGTCATCGGATTCAATTATTAATATGTGGTCCATTTTCTATCTAATGTCATGTCAAAAAATGTTATATTTACTAAATGTTAAGATGGACAGTGAAGAAAGGAATTCAAAAAACAAAATTTATAATTTTTAGATAAGAAAATTTTCAAATTTAGATAATTTTTATGGTTGAGATTATCGAACCTTAAAATATTGAATAAAAGATACCTCTTTAAAATATATTTTGTAAGATGACCGCCTAGAAATAGTACGAGCCGAATCATTAAACACTTTTTTTTTATGTGAAAGATAGATTTTTATCCGAAATTTTAGGTATGGATGGAGGTTTCATGAGTCCGCCGACTCATATGTACACATGTTGCCCCCTCTAAAACGTATCGATTTTTTTATTCAAAATTTTTAAGGGTTGATCATCTAACGCAAGTAAACATAAATAAATTAACTTTAAAAATGTGCTTTTTTTTTGAGATATTACTTGCAGCGTCCATACTTGATTTGACATTGTACGTTTACACAGCGTCCATCTTTAGAATAGGCGTTGCGGAGTCAGCAGGCTCTTGCACCCACTGGACTCCTGGAACAATTGTTTTTAAAAGATTCATCATTTGTCAAGCTGATCAGAAATATAAAAAATACAATTAAATTTTAAAATATACCTATTTAAGATGTATTTGACAGTATTGATTTGACCCTGTATACTTTTCACAACATCCGTATTAAAAGATGGACGTTTTATGTGTGCTTTACGCTTATAAAAACACCTTTCCTTCCGATATTCTTCAGCTATTTTCCACCCGATCGTGCGGTAGAAAGGAGTCTCCCCTCTCGCTCTCTCTCTCTCTCTATCTCTATCAAGAATAAGAGTGTCACGGTAAAGATTTGCATGAATGGGGACTGAGATACGTGCTTCCGCTTCGTTTACCCGTGTTCCTGTCTCTCTCACTGATATCTACAAAGGGATTGAATATAGGGAGGGCTTTCTATGTGACGCCCCCCTGTGTATGTGTATGTGTATGTGATTCTTAGTCTTAGTCATCATATCTAAGTAGATGGTGAGATGGCTTGAGTTATGATTTCACATGCTAACACTTAATGATAAGATATTGATCGATGGCTCATAACTTCTGTTTTTTTTATTTATTATACAAATACTTTTGAAACTAAATTTGGGACATGCATAGATCTAACAAGGGTGCACATGATAAAAATATTAATAAAAAATTACTAAAATATTTTTGAAAAATTTTAAGGGTATTTTTGTCATTTATTTTTACATAAAATATTTAGTTTTTATTTTTTCCAAGTTTACCCTAATTTTTTGATGGGATGCCCAAAATTTTATCAAAAATATTTTGTAGAAAAAAATAAAACAGTGTTTGACACTACATCTCAATATTCATTTATTTTTACAAACTAATGAGAGTACCTAATGCATCACTCTTAATTTCTTTTAAAAACTAAAAAAACACTAGTTTTAAATATTTATAATGATTTTTTGAAAAATATTTGAGACAAAACTTGTCGATTCAACCAATTCTCCTATCTGACACACCAATCCACCGATCTGATACGGGTATGGGTGATGACGATTCATGTCACCAATCCGCTTTTTTAAACCTTGATATAAAGCCATCCCAAATAAAAATCAAAATTACAGACACCACAAGCACTATCTCTCTATTATTTGCCGCTCGTCTTATTTCTCTCTCTCATGCACTCTCTCCCCTAAACCTCTTTCTCATTTGATTGAGATGAGAACAGTCAATAGTTAGAGAGAAAGAAGAGAGAGATAGATTTAGAGAGAGAGTGGCAAAGTTAATATTGGTTTTCATTGCATCCCCATATTCCTATTACAGAAAGAGAGAAAGGAAAGAAGTTTAGAGAGAGTGTGTGCTTTAGAGAGAGAAGAGAGATTTTTTTTCTCTCGAAAACATTGAATTGATTTATAGCTAAAGTGGCATTCCCCTAAGAACTCTCAAAGCTCCCTTTAATTTTAGCAAAAGCTCCGTATCCCTCTGATTTTGTATTCAAGCGAACTCTCTCATGTTATATTTGCTTAAGAGGGTGAAATTTAGAAAAATACTTCAATCGTCAATTAAGCCTGAATAATATGGTGAAGGAGTAAGCAGTAAAGAAAGTGTTTATTTGTTCATTTATCCATGTGTTTTGAGAGAGAATGTAAAGGCCCCATATTTTGCCCTGTAAAGAGAGAAACAAAGGTTTTGCCCTCTCGAGAGAGATGATGATAGCTACTTTTTTGGCATAGGGCATTGCATATATGGTTTTGGGCCCAAGAAGTTATCCCATTAAACCTATTTTTGAAAAACCCTAGAATATATCTCTTCGTACTCTAAATTTGGTGACCTATGTCGCAGATTTTTCCAAAAGGCTTTGTATAAAGGGCTTAAATGGTTTGAGTCTCTGTATCTCCTGGTTCTTTGAGAATTGGGGCTTCTAGGGTTGAAGTTTGGGTTGTGTGGACGATCATCAAGCTTGGGCAAAGCCTAAAGGAGTAGGGGTTGGCCCTTTGAATCCTCATCGTCAAGCCATTGGGCTTGATCGTCAGAGAGGAGCAAAGAATGGGACATAATGAAATCATCAGCAAGAATCAACCCACCATTGTTTCATAATAGAGAAGAACGCCATTGGGAGGGCATGAGAGAGAGAGATAATTAGTGGAGAGGGCGCGAAAGAGACTGGGTTGAAGAGAGAGAGCGGGGGAAATGAGACGAATGTTAAATATGGGAGAGAAAGAGGACCGTGGTGTCTGTAATTTGTTTGGGACCTCTTTGTGTCATGAAAAAGGGTTAAATTGGTTTAAGGGGTTATGATAAAACTTTTTAGAAAATTTTATACTACAAGATACATTTCAAATGTAAGGGGTTACTAGGAAACTATACATCAAATTAAGGTGTAAGGAGATATTTTTTCATAATAATAATAATAATAATAACAGCAACAACAATAATAATAATAAGGGATTTGTGCATAGGTGGAAGTAGGGTACAATTTATTTTCTTTTGCCATCTCAATAGGAGAGACATGTTGTTAAATCCAAGATTAGCATTATTTGATGACTTATTTACAGAATTTCATTTCTCTTTTTTTTTTCTAAAAAATAAAAAATTAACAGGAATGATGAAATTCGCCCTCAAGTGCTTGTCGATTTCCTTTCTGGTTTTGGATTCCACATGGGTTTTCAATCTCTACACCCTTTGGCTAATCGGCATGGCCCTTTCACAAACATTAAGGTGATGCTCGACTAGAGCAGGGTCCAATCCAGGCATGTCATTGTATGACCACGTAAAGATATCATGGTACTTCTTAAGAAAAGTTATCATATCTTCATGTTCCTCGGGTGAAAAGGAAGTCCCAATCTTTGTTATCTTTGGGTCCTCCTTTGTGCCCAGGTTAACATCCATCGTCTCTTCGACAATAGCTACTGAGTTTCCATCGAATCTTTGCTCGAATAGCTCAACTTGGGCTTTGAGCTCTTTCGACTCAAGATCACTTTCGGCTTCTACCCCCTACCGACCTGCGAAGGAATGGTTCGACTCATTATTATTGATTAGGTGTTCTCTTGTCGGGTTCTCTTGGTTTGTTCAACCTTTTATGTTTTCAATTATCTCTTCTTCAATGAAATCCAGGTTTTTATTGGATTCATTAAAGTTTTTAACAGTTTTGGAGATGATGCCACGTGCAAGGCCGGATGGAGGAGCACAAGTGCAGGGCATCATCTCCAACAAATGTCGATGCCGCCTACTTGTTTTTTGGCACCGAAATTTGGTGGTGTTGTTTGAAGCCTTCCAGCAAGTTGGCTAATAGATGAGCAAAAGGCCAATTCTACCCCTGGCCTTCTTTTGGGGCTATGGGTGTGTGGCCATGATTAGGGCCACATACTGCCCAGGTCTAGCCAAGGAAATGGTCTTCAATTCGAGGGTGATCATACACTCGTGTGCGATCTTCAAAATGCATATCTTCCGAAAAACATGTGGAGTCTTGAGAATCATGCGGGAGTGTGGAATTTGATGGGCCTTGATACGAAAGCTGTGAGGCTTCACAAGGCGAGGGAGTAGCATCCTCCATTTGTATTTCTAGAAGGGAGGGGCCAGGAGAGTCGAGGTGCTGAACAGCTCCAGAGACAAATCTTTGTGGGCATGGAGGACCATGATCGCTCTCGAGGTGGGCATATGAGCACCCTAATCCCCTCGGTCATTCTTCTCCAGTTTGGAGTCTGACACCTTTGCGATAGCAGCTACTATACCTTCTTGGAGCAAGAGAATGTGCCATGTCCGATATGGAACCCCTAGAGCAAGAGAATGTGACAGGCCTCGGGTAACATGTATCCATAATGTTCCTAGCAAACGCGTAGTTGCCTGAAGAATGGTGTATCTCAGAATGTTTTGAGAGCAGCGATGCCATCCTAGAGGTTTATTGTAACCCATTGAGCTCCATCATATGAGAAGAGAGGGACCTCACGGGACCCACCCTAGTCGATTGCCCAGGAATGATTTATCTCCAAGAGATTAATAGTAGGGGGTTGATCTGAAGTGACTGTGACTACCCCTTAAACTGTAGGAAACTTGAGGCTTTGATGGAAGGTTGAAGCCACAACTAGGTTTTCATCCAGCAATGGCTGCCCTTAGTCCCATCATAGGCGGTGATGGTGAGCTAAGAGGGTTTGAGTGAAATTAGATTTATACCCAACTTCTCAATTATCCTTAATAGACTTATGTTGAGGGCCGCTCTGTTATCGACGAGCACCCAGGGAATCCCAAGGCTCACTATA